CAATACGATTGGGAACGACTGGACGTGCAATTTTGCGCTTAAAAAGTACGTGTTTGTCTTGCACTAGTGCTTCCACCACATCAACCGTCCCATCCCTCCACTATTTCGACACCTCGTGGAGCGAGAGAACACATCTGAAGAAATTTAGGTCGTGCGCCCCAGGCTTCCACAAGTCCGCCCTCAGCACTGTCGTCATTTTACACGGCTCCGCCGTTATTCATACATTTAAGAATGGTGGGACGTCGTTGCTCAAGGTCGCTCGCGATCACGGTGGTACGGTGAAGACGGTTTTTCCACCTATGAATCTCACCAGACAGGAGGTTGCTGATTTTGTTGTCAATTATGATGGATTCAAGGCTGCTTTGATCAGAGATCCATTGGAACGCGTAGCGTCTTCTTTCCATGAAGTTATGTCGAGGCAGAACCGCGGAAGAAATTTGACCCTACAAGACAGGTTAGCATTTGCCAATCAGACGGTACTGGTGGAAAGGCTCACGAAAATGTTATCCCCGCTATCCAGCAATCCGCATTTTCTGCCACAGACGCAGTTTATGGTGGATTCGAGCGGTGTTAAGTTCCAGCTCGATTATATCGGTCTGGCAGATGATTTGGACGACGAGTTGAGTTTTATCATGAGGATGCCAGAAGTTCATGTGCCCTTCCTCTCGGGGCCAGATGACTACAAGATCAGCTTCTCTGAGTTATTCCGGGTCAACACGACGACGCTTCCTGATGATGTCGTTCGCATGGTGTGCGATGGCTATTCGGTTGATTATTGTTGCTTCGGTTTTTCTTTTCCGAAGCCATGCCAGCACATGACATGCTCTGCGCTTTTTCCTGCGTGATGCTTCAATGTGGAGAGCTGGCGCAGCGCGCCCCTGAAAAAGTGCTGACGCTCTGACGCTTTTGACGCTCCTGACGCTCTTGACGCTCTGACGCTCCTGACGCTCTTGACGCTCTGACGCTCCTGACGCTCCTGACGCCCCAGGCGTCAGGGGTCAGGGGCGTCAGAGCGTCAGGAGCGTCAGGAGCGTCAGGAGCGTCAGAGCGTCAAAAGCGTCAGAGCGTCAAGAGCGTCAAGAGCGTCAGGAGCGTCAGGGAGCGCCAGGGAGCGTCAAGGGGCGTCGGGGCGTCAGGAGCGTCAGGAGCGTCAGAGCGTCAGGAGCGTCAGGAGCGTCAGGAGCACCAGGGGCGTCAGGAGCGTCAGGAGCGTCAGGAGCGTCAGAGCGCCAGGGGCGCCAGGAGCGTCAGTGACGTCCACAACTCCGGCGCCGCCGCTCGAGACATCCTCACGACTCCAGTGCCGCCGCTCGAGACATTCTCACAACTCCGGCGCCGCCGTTCGAGACGTCCTCACGACTCGGGCGCCGCCGCTCGAGACATACTCACAACTCCGCCGCTCGAGATCTGGCGGGGCGTCATGAGCGTCAGGGGCGTCAGGAGCGTCGGGAGCGTCAGGAGCGTCAGGAGCGCCAGGGGCGCCAGGAGCGTCAGAAGAGCCAGGGGCGTCAGGGGCGTCCACAACTCCGTCAGGAGCGTCAGAAGAGCCAGGAGCGTCAGGGGCGTCCACAACTCCGGCGCCGCCGCTCGAGACATCCTCGCAACTCCGGCGCCGCCGCTCGAGGCATCCTCACAACTCCGGCGCCGCCGCTCGAAACATCCTCACAACTCGGGCGCCGCCGTTCGAGACATCCTCACAACTCTGGCGCCGCCGCTCGAGAGGGATGAAGGGATAGAGGGATGGAGGGAGGCTGGATGGAAGGAGCGAGGAGGAGGAGGAGCGCCTGGGGCGTCAGGAGCGTCAGGAGCGTCAGAGCGTCAAGAGCGTCAGGAGCGTCAGAGCGTCAAGAGCGTCAGGAGCGTCAGGAGCGTCAGAGCGTCAGAGCGTCAAGAGCGTCAGGAGCGTCAGGAGCGTCAGAGCGTCAGGAGCGTCAGGAGCGTCAGGAGCGTCAGAGCGCCAGGGGCGCCAGGAGCGTCAGGGACGTCCACAACTCCGGCGCCGCCGCTCGAGACATTCTCACAACTCCGGCGCCGCCGTTCGAGACGTCCTCACGACTCGGGCGCCGCCGCTCGAGACATCCTCACAACTCCGCCGCTCGAGATCTGGCGGGGCGTCATGAGCGTCAGGGGCGTCAGGAGCGTCGGGAGCGTCAGGAGCGTCAGGGGCGTCAGAGCGTCAGGAGCGTCAGAAGAGCCAAGGGCGTCAGGGGCGTCCACAACTCCGTCAGGAGCGTCAGAAGAGCCAGGGGCGTCAGGGGCGTCCACAACTCCGGCGCCGCCGCTCGAGACATCCTCACAACTCCGGCGCCGCCGCTCGAGGCATCCTCACAACTCCGGCGCCGCCGCTCGAAACATCCTCACAACTCGGGCGCCGCCGTTCGAGACATCCTCACAACTCTGGCGCCGCCGCTCGAGAGGGATGGAGGGATGGAGGGATGGAGGGAGGCTGGATGGAAGGAGCGAGGAGGAGGAGGAGGAGGAGGAAGAGGAGGATAGGGATGGGGGAGGAGGACGAATGGTCAGAATCGGGTGGGGACACTTTTAGCCCCAAATATCGATCGACAGATTTGGTAAGTTAATTGTGACGCGACTTGTATCAGAGCAGGTCGTGGGGATATCCCGTACGAGGCACTCGATTGACATCCCCGACTCCTGTGCATTCAGAGCACCACTCGGAGGCCCTCGTCGCTACGGCTGGATTCGCGTTAGCTGCCATCGGGTGCTATTTGCTGCTGTCGGCCCCCGGCGGCTACACTCGGCTGTTATACGAGACAGCAGGCTTACATCAGAACTACCCGAGTGTTGAACACAGGGTGAAGAGGGGAGAAATAAGGAGTATCCTCATATTTCCTCTTCTTTCTCCGGTGTTCCTGCTCGCGCCATTTCTTATCCTCGGTATAGTTATCCCCGTCCTTCCTTCCTCTTGCGTCTCATGCGGTCTTTCATGATCACCATCACCATCTTCA